AGCGAAGGAGAAGATATTCAACGGTCTCCTCGTGGTAGTCACAGTGTCTGCAATGGGGTTCCCGTTCAGACAGATAGAAACAAAAGAGGGAAAGTAATGATGTTGAGCTCTTCAGTGGCTCCCTCCGAGTATCTGCTGGGGAAGGGGGCAGGAGGGGGGGGGGTGGGTGTGTGTGAGTGAGGGGGGGGGGTCGAGGTGGGGTAGGGGTAGGGGCAGGGCGGGGTGAGAGTGTGGCAATGGGCAGGGGTAGGGGTGGTACGGGTAGGGGGCCAGAGTAGGGAGTTGTTGGGTGGGGGTCGGGTGGTAATAATATGTGAGGCAGCGTGGAGGAATCAGGCTCTCGTCAAAATAATCAAAGTGAAGAAACTTGCATTTTTCCCCAGGTTTGTGAATTTTTATCCAATTTTTGTTTTTTGGCTCGAAACCTTTCAAGCCCAATAAAGAACTAATTTCTGTGAGGATTTTTCTGAAAAACGTTGATTAAAGGCTAAAAAATGTAAATTTTCAGTTTATTAAGAAAGGAAATAACTAATCTTTGGCGGCTTTTTTCTCACTACTCACTAATGTTACCTCTGAAAACAGGTGACCCCCACCTCCTTCAATCGCAAATATCTCGACTTGTAATCAAGATAAATGGATATTTGTTTCATCCAAATAAAGACACGTGAACAAGCTTTAAGATGATACAAATAACTCTACATGCCCAAAAATTGACAAGAGCCTGATTCCACCACGCTGCCTCACATATGATGATGGGCAAGGGGCTGAGGTGGTGAGTTAAGCATAAAACAAAGCTAAAGAGAAGGAACACGCCTGAGGACGACGAAGCTCTGTAATGAACCCGAATACCGTTCTCTGTGCTCACGTAAACCAATACTCTTGACACTGCCCGGACAGGAAAAAAAACTTTCGCAATCACAGCTATGTAGTAATGTCTTTTAGTTTTAGTTTCCGGAGATTTAAAAAAAAGTGTTTTACGGCGCTCGCAACTGAATAAGCTCATAGGAGCGCACGGGACACACCAAACATTTTCAGGTGGTAGGAAATTTAAAATGTTTGCCCGGGCCGAAGCCTACTCTTGTCGATTTTACCAGAAGATCAGAGGTGTGGCTGAAAGACAACAGGAAGAAGGGGCCAAGGAGCAGCAGAAGAAAGGCTGCAGAAAGAAAATTTGGGGGGGGGGCAGGCACCCGAGACACAGAGAAGGAGAGACAGAGAGACAGGTATAGAGGGGGAGAGGGAGAGAGAGAGAGAGAGAGAGAGAGAGGGGGGGGAGAGAGAGAAACAATATTACATATATTCAAACAACATTTTGTCAAGCTTAGAGAGAGAGAGAGAGAGAGAAAGAGAGAGAGAGAAAGAGAGAGAGAGAGAGAGAGAGAGAGAGAGAGAGAGAGAGAGAGAGAGAGAGAGAGAGAGAGAGAGAGGTGATCAAGGTTTTTAGGGGACGGGACGGGGCGGGGAGTTGGAGGTGAGAATGTTCATAGAAGGAGGAGAAGGAAGGAACGAAAAATACAGTCGTCGGTGAATGTAGGGGGGAATTATGTATATGCGAACCGCTAAACCCCGTCGGATTATCTCCATACATTTATGGCCGTCTGAGGCTACCAAGAGGCGAGGAGAAGAAGACGATGGGGGGAATCTAAGTTCACGAGTCCACCAAACCGCAGACTTGCATTTTTGTTTCGCCTCAAGACGAGACGCGTTCGGTGGTAAAATTATTAGACTCTAGTAAGAGCGGCGTTTTAGAATATTATGGTATGCATGTATTCTGAAACTTAACGGCCGGCTCTTACGTTAGTTTTGTAGCTGTGGTTGTTGTATTTATTGTTGTTGTTGTTGTAGTAGTTTAGTTGTTTGTTGTTGTTCTTGTTGTCTTATTGTTGTTGGTGGTAGTAGTGTTGTTGCAGTTCAGCTTTTGTTGCTGTTGTTTTATTGTTGTTAATATTGTTGTTGTTGTTGTTGTTGTTGTTGTTGTTGTTGTTGTTGTTGTTTCGTAATTTAGTTTAGATACTGTTGTTGCCGTTGTTGTTGTTGTTGTTGTTGTTGTTGTTGTTGTTGTTGTTGTTGTTGTTGTTGCTGCCATTGTTGTTGTTGTTGTTGCTGTTGTTGCTGTTGCCGCTGCTATTGTTTTTCCTCTACAGCTGCTTCTGTTGTTTCTATTGTCACGGCTGTTTTTTTGTTTGTTTTGGTTCTTTTTTTGTGGGTTGTTTTTGTTGTTGTTGTTGTTGTTGTTGTTGTTGTTGTTGTTGTTGTACAAAGCCCTACTACACACGATATGTGAGGCATCGTGGTGGAATCAGGCTCTCGTCAAAATAATCAAAGTGAAGAAACTTGCATTTTTCCGCAGGTTTGTGAATTTTTATCAAATTTTTGCTTTTTGGCTCAACACCTTTCATGCCCTTTAAAGATCTCATTTCTGTGTGGATTTTCCTGAAAAGCATAGATTAAAGGCACAAAAATGTAAATTTTCAGTTACCACGGACGCTTAAGCTGAGGAAATAATTTGGGGGCCCATTTTCTCACTAATTTTACCTCTGAAAACAGGTGACCCCCACCTCCTTCTTTCGCAAATATTTCAATTTGCATTCAAGATAAATGGATATTCTTTTCATCCAAATTAAGACAAGTGAACAAGTTTTAAGATGATACCAATAACTTTACATTCCCAAAAATTGACGAGAGCCTGATTCCACCACGCTGCCTCACATATAAATCTTCAGAATAAACAACGCATTTCGCCCTCCTGACAACAGGACATTAAAGGGTTTGTGAGTGTGAGTGTGAGTGTGAGTGTGTGT